GCACGAAGGAGGCACGAGGGCTGGGATACTGCCAGGTGGCCCAAGCCTGACAGGAGGAGTCGAGTGGCGGAGGTCGGGTTCGAACCACGGACGTTCCGGTCAGTAAATTCGCGCTCTAACCACTTGGGCCACCCCCCCCCCCGCTGGAAAGCTCAAGGGCATGTTCGATGATATTCACTTTTCAAAAGCTTTCCAAGTTTTTTTACTTTGCTTATCTGGTAGCTTGTAACCGCTTAATTCGCGTTGATCAACAAATGACCACGCACCTGAAGGCGCTCCACCTCTCATCTAACGAAACATCAAGCACCGGAAAGTGAGTGGCGCTCCCCACAAGCACTTGGCATCCTTCAAGATTGACACAGAACAGTAAACGCCATTTCCTCACGTTTCTCTGATTTGGTGGATGGTTGCCAGTATCCAGAACGCAAGTCACCCAGCTGGGGCTAATCAAAAGTGTCCTCGACTAAAAGGATGCCTACAATCCGATTTAGAGTCAATTATTTCAAACGTCGGAAATCCACGTAAAATCAAGTTTTTCCGTTCGCCTTCTTGACCAGAGCCACAGATCGGTTCTACAAAATCGGCTTCCTCGACTATAACATTTTCAAGCATCTCTTGTATCTCCCTATGGGCCTCGGCAAATTTAGTGAGTCTGATGGGGATCGAGCAGTGAGGTATTCGGACACAGGCAAATGCCAAACGGATCTTAGTTAATTGTAAACAGTTCGGCCTCCTCGCTCCTAGATTATACTGATGCAGCCCTCCAAGAAGGAAGTCTGCGCACACGCATTTCTCTCATGGAAGCGCTGGCGTGACAACTATGCTTGCCCGAGCAATACTTTGTTATCAGTTTTCCCCAGTTTAGGCCTACCACCGATTCTGCTCTTTCGGAAAATCCTGCTCCCCAAACTGTCTGCGTCGTCTTCGGGTCATTCACGTGCTACATCGGCATGTCGCCCATTTGCATGAAGTACGATGATGAGTTGTCAATTATCAATCGGTATCTACCCAGTGTCCTCGATGCTAGCGAGCACGATTTGCAATCAGCTTCGTTTCCCATCTGCCTCATTGACACCGCCGCCCAGTGAGCACAACTCACCCTTCCCGTCTATCCCAATGATGACCGGTATCGTAGGCTGCATCACTGCAGTGATCGCGACCCTCCAGGGAAAAGGCAAGCAATCAAAAGCGTTGGTACTGACAGATAGCCGGTTAAGACAATACTGGTTTTTACAGCGGCGATCCATGCCACGGCTGTAGCATCTACGCATCCGAATTTTTCTCCGCGGTCCTGTCTTTTGGCTTTGAGCTCTTCCGTTAGCCGGTCTAATTTCGTCCACTGGGTCCCCGTCCCGCTGAAGTGTTACTATTGGCACTATTGCCAGATGTACCAAGGCTTCCACGCTCAAGTAGCCAGTTGTTGCTTGCAAACGTAACTGAGCGCCTCGCGCTGGCTGCACACCCTCGATGAACTGGTCCGGCAGCAACTGCTGACTTCCAATCCCGGCGAGGCACGGTCTAACCACCATTTCAGACCGACCAAGATCAATGTTGTGCCGAATTCCGCTCAGTGATTAGAGTGTGAATTCACTGACCGGACGGTCCGTGGTTCGAACCTGTCCTCTGCATCCCAACTTTTGTCTATGTTTGAGCGACCAGGCAGTATTCCAGCCCTCGTGTTTCCTACTGATGGCATGCAAGTTAGGCACGGAAAGGGTGTTACAGCTGAGCCGTTTTTCATCCTAATCCTATGCCGTTTGCTTTGGATCGCTTCATAGCATCCTGGCGACCTGCTGGCTTGTCGAATTTCACTGCAGTTGCTGCCTTCACGGCGCCCCAGACTAACTTCCTAAAGCTGGCCCCCAAGGAATATATTCGGTGCCATCAATTTACCCTTTTGCTTTGGATCGCTTCATAGCATCCTGGGGACCTGCTGGCTTGTCGAAGTTCACTGCAGTTGCTGGCTTCACGGCGCCCCAGACCAACTTCCTAAAGCGGGCCTCCAAGGAATATTTTCGGTGCCATCACTTTACCCGTTCGGCCTTCAGTGTGAGATAATCCCAACCCCTACTACTCAGGAAGGCCGTCACGTCGCAGCTTCGATAGGTTTTGGCCCCAGGATTTTGCCCACTGCACGGAGTGAGAAGATAAGTGTCTTCGGGTGCAGAATTATTTGTTAGCCAACACGAATTAGGTGGTTAGAAACCATCAGACATGAAAGTGAACACCCAATTTGCACAGATATTTTGAAAAGTGAGAATTATGGGACTCTCTCTTTAAATTCCCTTGACGTTGTTTGAATACCATACAATGGTGGTCACACTTTCACACCTGAACCGATGCTACTCATATACTTTTCAATAGTGTACGCCATCACCCTATTACTGACAGGCATAACACACCGGAAATTTCTGATATGCAGACCTAGGTCACTTCTGTACTCAAACTAGAGTAACTATGCTAAAGTAGAACCACCGCAACTCAAGTAAACCGCAGTCATATTTCTGCGGTGTCCTCGGCATTTCACCAAGAAATGAAAACACACAATGAATAAAAACTGACAGCGTGAATGTGAGCGCGTCCCAACCAGCATCATTCGTGTTGACAACGACGATGTCGTTTCAGCTGTTTCTTACACGACGAGGACCAGTAGGCATACCACGTGTGACAGCAGCGGGGTTTACTTTCCTGCTTTTGAAGTTGGTATTGCTTCTCATGGAGTCGAATCGGTATCGTTTGTATGCAGTGCTGAAACCTTTTCTGACGATCAGCGAATCAGGTCATTTTTGGCTCACTTTTAGTCTTACTGAGAGCTGTGTTCCAGCCAACTTGTTGTCCAATCAGTTGGAAATATTTTAGTTTCACAAAAGGCTGTGAAGCTCAGAAAGTCTTCCACTTCTGATGATCAACATCCGATTTATCTATTTACTTCGGTGCATCTAAGCCAATCATTAGTACCATTTGTCGAACCCCATCATGAGAAGGCTTCTATATTGCAGTCAAATACTTCACCCTGCCTTTGGAACTAGTTCGTCTTGTTGTCGGAGTTTTGGCCACGACTCTTCCTAAGCCGAAGAGTCGAAGCTAGCCTCGTTTCGGCGACCTTGACCGTGAATGGCCGGTTACCCGAAGCTGACAAGTATCCTTCTTATTGTTTGGTATCGGAATTGGAGGGAATCGACTGAACCAGTATGACAGTGGTGGACGAGTATCTTACTCCCTTCCAGAAACCAATTCGATCGTATTACGGATCGTATTACGCACCCAATTGGTCCGATCACAGTCATTGGATTAACCTAAAGTATTAACCTGATGTACCGCACTACACTGAACATCGTTACGTAACCACTGGTGATGCCGGATCCTTGAATGTGGAGGCTAACACTTCAGAAGAAGGGTTAGAATCCTGTCCGAGGTTCAAAAGTACACGTGCTGATGGCCATTATGATACTTGAAATGTTCCTCTTAATCAATAGTTTAAAGGGAATGAAACGTTTTGCGCAATTTTGATGCTTTCTAGCAATAAAGAGTTTTGAGTTTGCTTCCATCTCCAAGTCATCATAAGTTGTTTATTTTATGTCAGGTTGTAACGTAGCAAGCGTTATCCCACAACTGGACCGCGAATTACGATATGCCTTTTCCTGATGATACCGTTTCTTCCGCCTTTGCGAATTTGGTCCACCCTTCCTACTACCCACCAGGCCAAACGATCTTCTCAATTCATATGTAGATGGGATGTATCCCGGTTTTGAAGAAAAGATGAGATGTGCTTTATGGTACCTCCATCGGCTTTGTAATTAGTGAACGATTTCATCGAATCCCTACGTGGGTTCCCTTATTGACTGCCGGTTCATCCTATGCCGAAAGACGAAAATAAGGAAACAGTTATTTCGTTCGCTATGGGTATGTGCGCTTCAAGAGTCTCCCGTAGTTTTCCTTAGATCATGCCAGGGCAGTGAACAGCGCATGAAGAAGAGTAAGGTTGGTTTGGGAAGGATATGGGTTGATGTTTTGACTAGATGCCTATTAGATTCTGGAACACTGCAGCGTTTATTATCAGCAAATCGTTGCTGTCTTTTTGGGTGTCTAGGCTTTGGGACTGCGCACTGAGGTCTGAGCGTCTAGCGAATTTGTGGTTGTCTTCAGGATCTTGTCTTATGTTATATCAGCCTCAGTCTGAACTCACTATCTTAGTGGTTCCCCTTTTCGAGCGGAGCGCTGCAAGGGTGTTTTTTATGCTTCGTTACCTTCAATTCTGCTGTTTACATATCCCAACACAGACTGCTTGAGGGTGGCGATGTCCGGCTACAACACCCTCCATGCTAACAAACTCTATGTGTGGGAGACACTGATGACACTATTCGTGACAATCGAGATGCCAGAGTGCAGAATGTTCTCCGCACTATCCAAGCACAAAGCGGTTTTTACCACCGACAGGTGTCCTTACCTGAAGTCACACTGATCTAGTTGATAAGCCTGTTTGTCCAAAGATAAGATATAAGAGGTCAGACCTTGGTGCGTATCTTAAGAGCTAGATCTGCGTTCAGCAAACCCGGAGATATCCAGATCGACGGTACGGTGATATGGACCAGTTTTGAAGTTTGTGGTGAGAAACTGACCGTCTAAGAGCTTAAAACAGTGCGCAGGTCGCACAGCTATTCGGCCGAAGCCTCTTCAAAAAATTTCTGCCCATATTCTCATACTTTGTACTTTTTGTTCGCGAACCACACGTGAGGTTTGCATCAAAGAAGAAATCTAACTGAAGTTAATTCTTGCTAGTCCTGTACGCGAACCGGACGAAGATATCGGTTGAACAACGAGAAGTCTATGGTAAGCAACATTTTTTTCCTTCTGGAGACAAATTAGTGATCAACAGAAAGAACGATTCGTTTCACGACTGATCAAACCAATGTTTTATATCTCCGGTCCGTTTTGGTCAGCTCTGACGTAAGGCTCTTGGCCAACGTAATTGCCGCTGAAAAAGAGAAAAGGCTGGGAATAATACCTCCTCGAGTCCAGCCAGTTTTAGCTATCCAACGGTGTAAACCACTTACGGTGGTGAATAGCGACAAACTGTGTAATATGCGTTCTTCATCCTTTGACCGCCACTCAGAGGGACTCCGTCACACAAATGACGGTAGCAACCAAGTTCTCTGGTGTCCTCCCAAATAAGCTGCAAAAGGTACACATTTTTAATTCAGAATTTGACCAAAAATAGGATACTCAGCAATTCATATAGTCCTCCAATCTCTCACCTGCGTGTAATGACCCGTTTGCGCAACTTTTTCCATACTGATTGGTCCAAACTTGTATTGTTCGTGTTCGTCGAACCACATTTTTACGGGACTTTAAACGGGAAACATAAAGCCATATTCGAGTTAGATCATAATACAGCCGAGTGATGCATCTGTGCAATTTATGTGGTGATTGGCGTATTACTGAATGCCTGGACTTGACGTACAATTGAAGCATCAAAAGCTTCCAGTCAATCATTTATTTTCACGTAGAGTTTGTTACCTGGATCATTCTTATCCCAACAGATCAAGAGTAGTCTGTGGTATTGAGTTTGCTGACCCATTGGCATCGCGAACTTTGTCGCACCTCGTGCATGTACACTTGAGTTCCACCTTGACTCGCCAAACGTCTGCCTAACTGATTAATAATTGCTAGTCAGTAAGAAGTCCATTCATGCCACCATATCCTGTCATTTCTCCACCCAAGTTCAAGAAGAGGTTTGAAGTACGGGAAACTTGGTCATAGCATTGCACTCATTAGACCATCACAATCTAGGCGCACCGAGAAAGGTACTGCATTGAGGCGGATCATCTTCACGTCGAAATGAGAACCGGTAGTGATCGTATCGGAGAACTTCATATCCTACGCTAAGCACGCATTTGTGTTGATCGTGTTCTGCCTTAACTCAATACTACTGCTGTGATGTTCATCAGAATTGTTTACCCTAAATATTCTGCGCCACTTCGGAGAAACGGCTGACGTGAACACAAACACTGATGACGGAACTAAAAGCCGTTCCAAAGGATGCGTGGTATTAAAGTTTGATTATCAGACTGACCAACAACTTACTCCTGATTGATACCAGTTGACATGGCAAGGTTCTCACCCACAGTAGCATGTGTGAACTGACAATTCATTGCCCAGGTCTTCGCATCATCTTCCAGCTGCGAACTCCAAGTCTGGGTGAGCGGAAAGTGGAAGCACAATTGAGAAAGGACGATTCGCTTTCGTCCGGAAGTATTCACTAATCAATTTAATTTACATGAAACACTCTATATTAGGAGAGTTATTTTTTAAGAGAAGTTTACCGATAGCTCTGCGGTTTCATCAAGTTGATCTCGGACCAACACTAGTTTTATTACAGGAATATCCAAGGTTACACCGGACAATGTGAGACAGTCTGATTTGATTTGCAGCGCTACGCCTATTGTTAAAAACTTGGGGCTTTTGTTTCACATTACGATTCGTAAAGAGTTGATCGCGTCAATTCGATCAACCCGATGACCAGGATCTAACGGGTGTCTGGTCATTGGCGACACATACCTGTGATTTGCCCTTTGATTCAATAGCATTCTCAACAACATGTGGATAAAACCCTTTGGAAAGTATTCCACTGCATGTTCCACCAGTCACCCGTCTCTTCTGCTAACCTATCCATCTCCGGGACTGTAGGAGAACTTACAGGTTACATTAGCGACAGATGGATTAGAAGATCAAGGCCCAGGCTTGTGCACACATTTTGTCCACATCTTGTGCGCACAAGATAGAGGTTTAGACCACTAAGTTCTGGTGAATATTTTGAGACTACTTTCTCAATAGAATGTAACGGAAGATTCGGTAACACTCGACTCAAGTAGCTAATAAAGCAATTTTTTCACAGGTTCTTCACCGTTAACATGCGGACATAACCGTGGCGCTTCTTACAACTAAAGTGCATAAAAATCAACGGTGTGTTCGATATGGCAAACTGAAAACCGGGTCGACATCTTCAATTCCGAAGGTTAATAGTTGACTTCACTAGGACGAATAATTTATCCACATCTGAAAGAACTGGTCAGTATGCTTGGGCAGCTTCTCTCCGAGGTATCCAAGAAGACCCTCTACACAGGGTATAGCTGGTTTAACATGAAGGCAGTGCGACGCAGATGGCGGTCAGAAAACTAACCGTATTCCATCCTTCCACTGTGAAATTGAAGCAAACTGCCTAGGTAATTTTTGGCAGCCTCTTTTGGAAACAGCTGGGTCGCATCTGAGATGCAAGACTGCGTGGTTCAGGGTGAATCTGTACAGCATGGTTTCAGAGGTATGAATTAAGTGAGTTCAGGTCAGACGATGCAAAGGTCAATTAAGAATTACAGTAGACCGCAGCTTACCAATGACTTACCAGGTTTTGAAGGCTTTTAGCGGCTGGTTGCCCAAGGACGCGCCCCTCTCGGAGCATCACTCTGTATTTATTGTGGTTATTCAAAAATGTCATCGGGCCTAAGTTTTGTGGCCTACAACCGCAAATAAAACAGATGGTAAATGCAAGACCAAGGGCAGCCAGAGGTGGAACAAAGCGCATTTTTCTTGCTATCTTTCCAACGCTCTGAAGCTGATGGCATTTTATAGGGTGTGTCGCGCAAACTCAGCACTCGGTTGGTTCAAAAGTTGCTGAGAGAACCGACCTAAGCTACTACTGGTTTCCAAGCACTGAGAAAGTGGACCAGTTTTTCAGAAAATGAAAAGTTTAATCTACGACTTGTTAATCATTTGTGAACAAAGCGAATGGTGTGTGATGATGGTGTGCATCCATTTCGAAGGTATGAGTTGCGTGAAAAAAACGTGAAACAGCTTTGATCAAGACCGTCTGATTTGTGTTATGGCCAGAACCAGTAGTGTACTAATAAGTAGTGAGCCCGACGTGACTCACAACCGATGTACACGACGTGACTCACAACTGACTTACACAACATGACGAAAAAAATAGCAATCTTTCAGCTGTAACAGCCTTCCGATGCCTAGCTGCCATGCCACCCGGAGGAAGCACGAGGGCTGGGATACTGCTAGGTCGCCCAAGCCTAGACAGGGGAAGTCGAGTGGCAGAGGCCGAGTTCGAACCACGGACCTTTCGCCTAAACAAACAACCCATGTATACAACCTGACATTTGGCCGTTTCTATTACGTTTATCCGTACTTCATTCACGCTGTTGTTACCCGCATTTGTTTCGCCATGCTGAATTCTCCATTGCATCAACACGCAACATCAATGTCACCAGAATCAATCAGTCAATCACCAGAATGGCTCAGAAATACAACGCCTAATGAATATCATAACGTTAACCTACAACCAACCAATTAGCAGTTCGACTGACCGTTCTCCGGAAAGGATAAATTGCTACCTCCATCCATGTCGCACAATAGTCATTGGTTGCAACGTATTTGTTCAAAAGTATTGTTTGCATGGGCATAAAAGGCCCTTCTCCCAGGGACGTCAGTGGCATAAGGCATAAACGTACTCCTGTGTACCAATACACCCATAACAATATGTGTTGTTGTAGGAATAATTCCCTTCTCCCAGGGACGTCAGTGGCATAAGGTATAAACGTACTCCTGTGTACTAATATACCCATAACAATATGTGTTGTAGGAATAATTATGTGATAAGGATAAGCGGTTTGCGCTGAACCGAGTGGGCTCTGAGCGCAAGCCGCTTGATTGGGCATTTACTAGAACAAACGCAGTCGGAGGTAGAGTATGAAGTGGCTTGTCACAATTAGCGAATATACACTCATCTGCAAACTAATTTGGTTCTTTCGAGAGACTCACCTGGAACCCAGCTGAATCTCTCGTTTATGATGTTCTCAGGCTTGTCACAAGTCTTCTGTCGGCTTAGACATGATGGCACAATAATGGGCACCTGTACCAAATAACTGTCTGTCATCCAGGTGCCGACATCATGCGATAATTCAAATAAGATTCAGCGTAACCTCACAGCTCCTTTAGTAGAGTACTAGGCTAGTGTTACTGAGAGTTACTAATAGCATCATCAAGATAGTCAAAGATAACCCGAAAATACTCAACTGTTTCTGTAGCTAATTACGACGTAATCCTTAGAACGAGAATACCGGACGGTCAGTCATCAGACGATGAAACATGCTACGTTTCAACGAGCTTCTTTCAGCAGGTTGACGCGCGAATACGGTTGTGACTCACACTGCCGTACTGCTAACGTTGTGAATCTCCTCGTGGTTAGGACTGCATTGGGAGAAACCAACCCTTTGTGACTGTTCCGGTTATTTTGCAGCAATGCATTGTGCTAAGTCTCAAAGCTTCTTGTTCATGTTATAACCGTTATAGCTTCTTTCTCACGGCTTTCCAGTACTAGGTCGTCTTACGACGTTACAGCTCTTCAAACTTACCTGATAACTGTCACAATAGGGAAACTTCGTGTTTCTCCAAATTCGACCCCCGTTTTTTTCAGCTACTTCGGGATGAAATTTTCCGCCATTGAAGTGACCTTATAAATGCAGCTGATTTTTCTGTACCCGAAGACACTCCACTTTGGCAGCGTTTTCTGTTCACACATCTTGGGTGTTTGGAAAACTGTCATTCAGTTTGCGCAGGCAGTTCAAGTCAAATCGGTCAAGTACTAAAAACTTGAAGTCTGTGCATCAACCAGGGCTCGGTGTCGGAAATTGGTGCAGACAGAAAAACAGTTTGGTGCACTACAGTAATGGCGTCTATGTTCAAGTGTTACTTGTGAGTTCCTCGGAACAAACAAATACCGCGCTAGCCTTTGAAATCCGTGTGTTTATTTCATTATTTCTCGTTGGTTCTTCTATAATAGCGCAAATCCGAGCGGTACTCTACCTCATATGTATTCGGTTGAACGCATGATGTGGTCGAATGTGTTGTTGATGTTGAATACAAGCTGTAAGCTGTAGAAGACGAAATTTGTAGTAACGTTTATGTTTTAGACTAAGGTCGCTGAAGAGTTGGTAGTAGTCTGCAAGTGTCTTAGAATACGAAAATAAGTCAAGGTAGTTTGGTAACGGTGGCATGCGGACATTGGATTTTTCCGGTAGTGTTTTCTAGAGGAAGTGCTTTGAACTGAATAGATGATATTTCAATCAGTATTAGATGAGGATATCACCTTCATGATGGCGGGGCCATCGGTGTGGATGGTTGTCAACTAGAGACCAAGAAGCATTGGGATAAAAAATTTTCGGCAAGGATTAGGAAATCGTTCAAAGTCTGTCTACACTTCACCACCTGCACTTCCATCCCAATTCGAAAGGTCTTATTGAGGTTAACAAGGTTGTCTCAAAAGTCAAAGTTTCATAGAACGATCCACAGCGCTGGGAACAGGAAACCTGTTCCTCAATAAACGTCCGTCTTTTATGGGTTTCCTCTGCCGTTGCATCTTTGAAATCTCCCAAGCCGCCTAAAGCAGACAAAAGATTTTGCTTTGTACTGCCGCCCATCTCGGCTTCAACATCCCCACCGACAAGCCATTCAGTCATCTTGGTCCCACTTTTCGTAGCTGGTTTGTAGCCCTGTTGCTGTAAGCAATTCAACCCAGCAGATCGTCACTTTTTATTAGGTCAGTTGAGATATATGGTTAGGTCATCATCTTTTAGGATTTACGCAGTGTATAATGTCATCAGGCTTTTTGAATTTTTCAGTAGTTTATTTTTACTCTATCAGTCGAGGATTTTGGATTCACTTTCCGTAGAATTCTTCAAGTCCGGCGAAGTATTTCTTGTCCCAGCTGTAATCCACATGCGACTGGAGATCTTCACTTGGAATGGGTCCTTGTTGGGAGAACAATCTTCATTAAATAACCTTTATTTTTATATCAAAGCTGTTCATTCGAAAATATGTCAGAAGCAAGCGAAATTTAACGGCATCAATGACGTTACAATGTTAATGACAGTTAGCAGAAAAATATCAAGAACCAGCTTGTTTTTTGCGTCACCGACGTAAGGGAATAATGCCGGGCAAATCCAGTGAAGTTCAGACATCTCTTTGATGATTTCCAATCTCCAATGTCTGTTTTTCTTCTTTGGAACTCGCGCTGTAAATCCCGAGTTTACATGAGCTTCAAGCAGTCTTTTTATATGAGTTCATCAAAATTAAGTAGAGTAGACTTTGCGGATACACACTTTTTATATTTTTGTATAATTCGCATTTTACCAATGCAAACGTTTGCTCAGGTATTAGTGAACAGAAAAAAATTAAGGCCCAGTGTAGTGACACACTAACATATGAGAAGGAGCCTTATCTGTTAGAGTTTTATAATCGATTTCTGCCATGCCATGCTTACTTGTGGTGTGCAGTTAATTATCCGTACTAGAGGCTATGCACTTCCCGACCACGAATTACAAGCATTCCAAATCGAATTCCTCATGCTGATGATACAGACCCTTGTTACTGTTTTTTCTCATTATTCTGTCGAAATTCACATTCCATTCTCGCCAGACGGATCCGAATGATAAAATCGGTAGGACAGAAAACCGCAGCCTGGTGTAATTCCAATGTGAACGGCGTGAGATTTGCTCTTTTGCACACCTTCTGAACCGAGTGCCCCGGCTAGCACCTTCTAGTTCTGTGCTGCGGATAGCTAACAATCAAATGTAAGTGATGACATGATATCCAAAGACAGACAATCTAGGATAGTCAATAGGCACCATATAATTGGCTAGCGAAAAACTACCTAACCCACCTTACATACATACATACATACATACATACAAACATACATACATACATACATACATACAAACATACATACATACATACATACATACAAACATACATACATACATACATACATACAAACATACATACATACATACATACATACAAACATACATACATACATACATACATACAAACATACATACATACATACATACATACAAACATACATACATACATACATACATACAAACATACATACATACATACATACATACAAACATACATACATACATACATACATACAAACATACATACATACATACATACATACAAACATACATACATACATACATACATACAAACATACATACATACATACATACATACAAACATACATACATACATACATACATACAAACATACATACATACATACATACATACAAACATACATACATACATACATACATACAAACATACATACATACATACATACATACAAACATACATACATACATACATACATACAAACATACATACATTACATACATACATACGTACATACATACATACATACATACATACGTACGTACGTACGTACATACATACGTCTCCGTTTGCAGCAAGCCTTTCACGAGGGGAATGAATGCTCCCGCCTCTCCTCCCGCCGTTTCGAAGAAACCCAAATCGGCCAAGCCGGATGAAGAGTGGCTTAGTACTGGCATCTTTCGAGGCTATCAGGAACGAGTCGCTGCCGCCAAGGAAGAGTTAGAAGCTGCCATCGCCAAATTTGATTATTAAGTCACGGAAGCCCTGTGTATACCAGAAGAGATCCATTCCATGCTGATCGGTCCCCTTGGCACCGCAATCCAAAAGGTAA